GCACCTCCAACATCCTGGGTCCTCCTCTGTAACTTAGGATTCACTCATAAAGGACTTCCTTGCCCTTGCAAGACCCCTTGACCTTATATTTTTACACACTAGCAAAGCCAGCACCAGGTGGACAATGCTGGCAAGCTCTGCTTTCAGCTCAAGGTGCAGGCAGGCCCCTCCTGCCACAGCTGGCCCTCTCTCTGCATATATACCTCAGTGGTTGAACCTTGGGAAACAAACACTTCCTGAGAAGGTTGTTTTCAAGCAAAGAAACCCTTCAAGGGTGGTCTCAGTTGTCTTTCTCCTTTTTCCATGCTGTATGGAGTCTTCGGGGGGGGGGGGGGGGTCTGGTCCTTAAGGCTCTTCATCTATTGTCCGAGCAGGAGGTGTCGGGACACCCTGAACGGAGCTGAAACTGTGACAATCACAGGGTTTTCTCCACACCCTGGTTGTCCAGGACTTTAAATTTGCTACATTCCTCACCAAACTACATGTTCTTCTTACTTTTCCATTCCATCTGTGACCTCTCTCACTGTAAACTTAGATGAGAAGAACAATGAGTCGTAACCAAGATGCAGTAACCTGAATGCTGTGTTGTCTTGAAATGTCCTCCTCCAAGGACCTAGTCCTCAGGTCATGGGCGGAGTACAACAGGATTGCTTTCCAGAATGTAATGGCTTCGAGCTCAGTTGATACCCTCTGATATCAGTTGAGTCCTTGATGCCTTCTGAAATCTTATGAGCTGTCTGACGTCCACATTCCCAGCAGTGCTGTGAACAGTGCATCAGGTTCTGCTTGCAAGGGTTTCTCTAGCCTGAAGCTCCAAATGCTCCCATACCCCTTCCTGCAAACAGTTCTAAAACCTACCAGCCAGATTCATCACAGCAACAGCCCCGCTTCTTAGTACCAGTTTCTGTCTTCGGAGTGTTTCTCATCACTGTGACTGACTAAGGTGACTGAGGAAGGATGGGTTAATATTCTGCTCACAGCCATGGCAATGAGAGTAGCTCTCACTGGTGGCAGCGGGGTGAGGTACATTTGTGATCAGAAAGCAGAGAAGGTCGAATGCTGGTGCTCAGTTTGCTTGTGCCTCTCTACTCAGCCCAGAACCTCCATTCAGGGTTTGTCCTCCTTTTTTGGTTAAATCTAGAAATGCCTTTTCAGACGCTCCAGCAGAGTAGCTCCTCCTCGGGGCTCAATGTCAACGGACAATGAAGACTGACTATTACACGCTCCAATAGGTAAGCAAATGTTTTTCTTTGTTCCACTTTTTCTACATCCTCTGCCCATGCTAATCTGTGTCTACAGACCCTCTCTCTTCAGGCAATGGTTCTCTACTGGGTTAGGTATTAAAATTGAATTGTTTGCAGAGGGCTAGGCATGATGGCACACACCAGCATCTGAGAGGCTGAGACCGAAGGGCCACGAGCTTTAGGCCAGCATGATCTGCCCGAGAGCACACCACCATCAAGGCCTTATTAGAAACACAGAATCACTGCCCAGCATGTAAGAGTGGATCCATGAGCCAACAGTGAACAGGAAGCAGAAGCAGAAAGACCACAAATGAAAGACAGCCTGGGTGCACAGTGAGCCTCTGAGCCAGCCTGCGCTATCTGAGACCGTGTCGGGAAAGAAGGGAAGGAAAGGGAAATTAGAGGGGAAAGGAAAGAGGATAACGGGAAAAGGGAAGGCAAGGGAAGGGGAGAGGAGAAGGGAGGAGGAGAAGGGGATGGGAGAAGAGAGAAGAAAAAGGTGAAAAGGAGAAAGGATCAAAATATACATTTTCTAAAGGCTTCAGTACTCACACTAAACTGCAGATTAGGAAGGTCTGAGGGGCTTTACAAAAAAGACAGACAGACTGACCCGACTGATGGACCGACCAACCAACCAACAGACTGACGGGCCACATATTTCTGGATTCCTAGTCCTTACTACCAAAGAGTCTGTCTGACCTTAATTAGGTTGGTTTGCAACCTGGCTCATAACTGACTTCACTGAGAATTTACCAACGGCAGCTAAATTACTGATGTCCTCTAATACAGAAAGTAGCCTCTTTGGAGGGTTTCACGGCCCTGGAAATGGGCAAAAATTAAGAGGCCCATGAGAGCAGAAGTCAGCACATTTCCTCCGGAAAGGGCTATACATTAGTACGTGTTTCACTCCTACGAGATATGCACTATTACAATTACTCAACCTTGTTACAAACACAACACTCAAAGAAATGACTAACGCTGTGTTCCAATACTAATCTGACATGAAAGTAAATAAAAAAATAAAAGTAAGGGAGTAAATCTGGCCTGTGAGCCATAGCAGCGTCTAAGAGTGAGCCAAACTGGCTGCTGGCTTGTCTGATGATGCAGATCTGGAACCGGGGCTGAGGCACACAGGAGACGCTGATGCTGCTGCGCCAGGGACCACTATTTAAGAATCAGGATCTCTGGCTACACACGAACTCAGACGTGCATGTTGCCATGCACAGGGCCTGCACAGGTCAAGACAGATGGGGTTTTAGCGCTTGGAGGGGGAAGTGGACGCCAGCTACCACTGCTAACAAAGAAGCTAGCTTCAACTGGCAACCGCTTGGAAAGAAAAAAAAAAGAAACGAGCCCAGTTTACTACAGAAAGTTTCCCAACATACAGACAGACAAACACCACATCTTAGGTGTCTGAAACTGCGATAGACGGTATACCCATGGCCACCGTCAACTCTCCCAGGCCTGCAGAAGATGTCACAGTAAGAGTCAGACTCACTTTTCTTCTCTTCAATTTGACCTCACTGTGATTCTTGCTTTGATCAGAAGATTTCAGGACAAGGGGAAACAACATGACTTCTAGACCTTGGTCTCAAGAAATAACAGGTGCTGGACATCAGCCGAATCCAGCCAGTCTTAGCACCAGACACGTTGACCCGGCTAGTCACAGACAAGCCACCCGCCAGAACCAAGAGCAGAGGCAAGCTGGCCGCTTCACATCCTGCCCAATAAGCCAAAGTGTGTGTGTTTCTAAGTTGCCAAGTACTGGAATGATTGTCAAATACCATGAGGTTCTGTCAGCTACACACAAGTGATAGATGGCTCTGTTATATAAGCATTTTTAAAGCTGTAAACCACTTGAAATAACTGGGGTTTCTGGCTACTGGGCTCTATTGTGATACTATACAGACAACATCCTCTGCTAACTTTCAGAATTAAGAGAGGAATTATTCCTGTAGGAAAGCCATACCCCTCATTTCTCTGTGTCTCCATTTTGAATTATCCAAAACTATCAAGTATTTTAGTGACTACTCATTATCACTGCTTGTCACAATGACATCACTCTGACACTTATTTCTCACACTTTTTCTTTTGTTTTTATTTGTTTGTTTGTTTCTGTTTTTTTCGAGACGGGGTTTCTTTGTGTAGCCTTGGCTGTCCTGGACTCCCTTTGAAAACCAACCTAGCCTGGAACTCACAGAAACCCGCCTGCCTCTGCCTCCCAGAGGGCTGCCTTACAGACATGCGCCACCACACCCAGCTTCTCACACTTTTTCTAACAATGAAAGTGTACACAGCTGGTTCCTCAGCATCAGTGCCCAGTGCTAGATAATTCTATTACAGTAAACTGATCTCAGCTGTTACTTCTTAAACCTCCATTCTTTCTTATTTTTAGTTATTGAAAAACTTATGAAAGCAAATGAAACTAAATGCACATATCTTTTTATGAAGAATATGGCTACAGAGTCTCAAAATCTTTTTTGAAAATATCTTTCTAATCATACATGTAAGTAATGCTAGACTGACTAAAGTGAGCCAATATGCTGTTTTATTTACTAAATAATTAGTTTTATATATCAATATAATTTATTTAAAATATCATTAGCACAGTATGTGCCTCACACAAACACTATTTTCACACTCTAAACCAGATCCATTTCACCGCTGATTCTGCACCACACTACACCCAAAAGACAAATACAGTATAGTTCAAAATGATCTCCCTCAACCTAAACCTTCTTATCTCAGAAAGCACTTAAGTAAATTAATAGTAACAACAATTCATAAAGTACTTCAACTCCAAGTGACTATTTCATACCAAAGGGCAGATATGTAAAGAGACACATACGTAGATATGTATGTTCTAACCTTCTGTAACGTAAGAAACAACCTCCTTCCGTGAGCCTGGACACATCAAGACAAGCAACCACTTACGTGATCACCAACTACAAGCTAAAGCCATAATAGCTATTAGGTCTGCAGAAATTACACTAGGAAGTCAGACTACTATGTGAGGATGTTTCCTGGGGCTAGAGAGATGGCTCAGTGGTTAAGAGCACTGGACCCAGGTTTGATTCCCAGCCCCACACAGGGGTTTACAACCATCTGCAACCGCAGTTCCAGGGGTATCTGATGCCTTCTTCTGACTGCTATAGGTACCAGGCATGCACATACATGTAGGCAAAACACTTGTACACATGAAATACAAATAAAAATAAATACGTCTTTTTTGTTTGTTTGTTTGTTTAAGGAGAGGATGGCACGTGCCAGTTTTTGAAACAGCCAACTACAGCTAAAATGAAAATTAGTATATAACTTTGGCCATAATAGGAGCAATCCAACCCCACCCCATCCCTGGGCCAAAACAAAACAAAAACAAAATGCACAAACGCCAGATGGGGAATAAAAAACTTTAATGGGTATTGTTTTATGATATTAAGTTTATTACGGAAGATGGGGTATCATTTTATTCAGTGGTGTAGCCACTGGTAAACCGTCCATAAAATAAACCAGTAAGTAACCCTTTACCCATGGCTCATACAAACAATGCTAATTAAACTCAGCGGAGGAAAGGTTCATTACACTAGAATGGGAAATAAAGCAAATTAACTTTCCTTCTTCACCACCATACACACACGGTGCATTTTATTTCAACCCAATATAAAAACCAACCAAGTCATCAAATCAGCCATCTCATAAAAGACTGACGCTCAAGAGCATCAAGAATCACGGCACCACCTACTTACTAATACTTACTGTATGGAAATTTATCATTTCTTGGAGACTGTCAGAAAACTTGGTCAAACTTGTCTGTAAGGGGAAAAAAAAAAGTCAGGTCACTTACCAACTAATAATATAAGTCAGGAAAATAAGACTTTAGCATTTCTGACAAAAAAATCAAATTATCCCATTAGCGGTAACATTTACTTGCAAGGATAATCCTAAAGGCTCACTGGACATGATCTGCAGAGGCCGTGTCTATACAAGTCTAATGTGGCAACCTACGGAGGCCTAGAAAAATCTAAGGATCATTACTGTCCCAGCCACAGTATGTACAAAGCTACAAGTTTGATAGCGTCAATAATGTGGCCCTGTGAGCAACTACGGATCAAACTGTTTCCTCACTTCCTAGCTCTCAGCATGAAAGAAACATCAGCAACAGAACACAGAAAGAGATCCCGGCTAATCCCGGACAACAAGCTAATGGGGAGCTGCCCGGTTCCCAAGCACACAGTTGGGCCCTGCTCTGAGCAGGCAAGTACTGCTCTCGCACACTCAGCTACTGCTGGCCGCTGGCAGCTACATCAGCTCACCATCTCAACGCAAACTGGAATGCCGTAAAGCAGGGTTAGGGCAGTGGTGCGAAGTACGCACACTACAAGTCAAAATTTAATGTACAACCGCCTGAAGAAACCACAAGTGCCGGCTAGGCAGGCGGAGGCGCATGCCTTTAGTCCCAGCACTCAAGAGGCAGAGGCAGGCAGATCTCTGTGAGTTCAAGACCAGCCTCGGCTACAAAGCAAGTTGCAGGACAGCCAGAGTTACACAGAGAAACTCTGTCTCAAAACAAAAAACAAAAACAAACAAAATTACAGAAGATGGCTCCCAGGGCTGGCAGCTCCTCTACTCTGGTTTTAAGTTTGCTATAACCATCAGTATAGTAAATTCATGCATAATCGTATGATGCTCTGCTGCGCTCATCACTTTACCTGTAATTTTAGTGATACCAACCTCAACCACAGCATCATTGCTAGAATACTGGGCCAGGTCTCGAATCCCATTCATGAACTGTTTATTTGCAAGACAAAAGGCTTTGCCGGTATCAATCATCGCGATACAAAGTTTCACAAGCTGAAAAAGAAAAAAGATGTGATGAGAAGGGAACCGGTTTGTAAGTGTCTTAGTTGGACAAGCATAAGCGTAAGCGGTTGGTACATGGGTTAGCCTACTAGACAGAAATTATTGAAAGAAATTTTCCTTTGCCTTACATAGTAAACTCACGAGAAGAGTTATGCCAAAAGGTTGACCTTTTAGGACCTAGAGGCTGTGTGATAACAATGCACCACCTTTTTTTCAAGTCAAATTTAGATCCATAATTTAAGCTTGTAAGTATTTATTACATCTCCTAGAAGTGGGGCCAGGAGAGAGCTCAGTGGCAGAGCACTTACCCATGTGAAAAGCCCTGTGTTCAGTTCCTGGCACACAAGAGAGAGAGAGAAAAAAAAACAAACTATGCTCCTGAGGAAAGAGAGGGGCGAGCGGACAGCAGTGCGATGGAAACATAACTGAATGTAAATGCTGCGGTGCGCTGGAGTAAAGGGGCATGAACTGGAACCGTAGGTTAGTCATGCGCTCAATGTCACGCTGCCAGACTGGAAACCACTAGAAAAAAAGGATTTCTTCTCTAACGCCTGTTTCAGGCATTGATTAAAGCCTTAGAACCGAGCCTGTCCCAGCCTTTCCTGGCTTCCCTCCCTCATGTGTCTTCATTGTGACTCATCCACATGACACGAGTGTGACATATGCATGCGATAGAAGAAGATACACAGAATGGACACAGCCAGCAGTGTGGCTTAGCTGCAGACACTGCCTAGGATGCAACAGGCTCGGATTCAACCCAAGCACCAAAAACAAAGACAGCTCTACAAGAGGTAACAAATGGTAGCACCCAAAACATATAAGGAAAAATCAGATTTTTTAAAATGCTAATGTTTTTTATTGAAATGGAAATAATCCATTGCAATAAAATATATGTATATCCTTTTGCATGCTTAGAAAATTTCTGCAAAAACTCGTAAAAAGCTTGGTCAGAGTACTCTTTAGCAAAGGAATCAGGCAATAAGCAACTGTCACTGGGTATACCTCTTTTGCCTTTGAATTCTGTTCCATATAGGTAACACTACTCAACAAATTAAATATCAAAAATAATTAAATTAAATTAAAAGGAGACGCTAACAGTATAGCATGATTAAAGCAGGATTTTCAGCTCAGTCTATTCAGATTCAAATCCTAATGCCATCTAAGTGGGTCTAGGTGACAGTAACCTTAACAAGAGTGCATTTCTTCATCTGTGTAATACATAGCAATGGTATGAACCTACAAGCAGCTTCTATCAAGAGACACCACGCAAAACACCTCAGCAAAGCAGCCGTAGGTGCATGGGAACTGCTCGGCAGAAAGTCTACCTCCTTGTCGGCGAGCTTTCTGACTGCGGCTGGCTTCTGTTTCGATTTGTAAGAAGCCAAGAGGTGGCTGAGAAGGAAAAGGAGAGAGGCAGCAAAGGATCTGCACAGAAAAAGATACTTTTATTGCTGCAAAAGAACGGGTTGTCTCTAGATTAGGAAGGAGAAATAAAAACATTCCCACCAAGCAGAATGGCAGTCACTGTGTTGCTCTTAGAAAGCAGTTAAGCCACACAGGGCCACTGCAGAGGCAACAAGAGACCTGCCAGCCGGTGGGAGAAAACTGGATGTAGCATTTCAGGAATCTGTAGCTTTACCAAACACACTGTAACTTCTTTATTGCCCAGATTATGTCATTAAGCTCCATGTAAAGGAGAATTCTACTAGGCATGGAAGGGCCTATAAACTAGCTCTAAGAGGCTGAGGCAGGAGAATCACCAGCATGGGGGTTTAAAACTAGCCTAGACAACAAAATGAGACTGTCTCAAAAGTATAAACATGCATTATTTCAAGTGAAAGCAGCCAGTCTTAATTGGCTAAATGACTCATGATCCCATTTATAAGAAATATTCAGGGGCTGGTGTGATGGCTCAGCAGTTAGGAACACTGGCTGTTCTTCCAGAAGTCCTGAGTTCTATTCCCAGCAACCACATGGTGGCTCAAGACCATTTATACTGGGATCTGATGTCCTCTATTGGTGTGCAGGTGTACATGCAGGCAGAGCGCTCCTACATTTAAAATTAATAAAATTTAAAAGGTTTAAAAAAAAAAAAAAAAGAAAGAAAGAAAGAAAGAAAGAAAGAAATATAGCCAGGCGTGGTGGTGCATGCCTATAACCCCAGCACTCAGGGAGGATCTCTGTGAGTTCGAGGCCAGACTGGTCTACAAAGCAAGTCCTGGACAGCTAAGGCTGCACAGAGAAACCCTGTCTCGAAAAACCAAAAAAGAAAAAAAAGAAAGAAAGAAATATTCAGAAGAGACAATCCACAGAGAAAGAAATCAGCTTAGGATATACAAGACAGAGGAAAGTTGGAAGCAGCAGATAGAAGGCTTCTTTGGGGAACAGGGAAATACCCTGCCATTAGACCAAGGTAGTGATGTCCAACAATGACTATACTGAAAATCATTTTAAAAAACATACTTTACATTAAGTGAATTTTATCTCAATAAAAGAAAATTACACACACACACACACACACAAAGTACAATGAAGTGAACTTTAAAAATGGTCTAGTCTGGGAGGGCAGGAGTGAAGATGTCTACAGCTAACCAGACATCCTGTGTTCGTGCAGGAAGATAGCTGCTACCATCAGTGATGTACACAATTCCCACATCTTGCCCTGTCCCAAACTAAAAGCACAAAAAACTAAAAACCAGAACCCTGCCCTGCCAGAACCCTGGCTCCACACCCATTCTGTCCCAGCCCGTGTGAGCCTGAATACAGGCCCCACACCACGTGTCTGTGGCTGAACCAGGCTGCAGAGCTGGCCTGCCCTGGATCACAGTGATTCTGAGCTGAAGATCCTGGTATTGAAGGCAGTAAGAAAGCAGCCTGATTGTTGATGGAGTTTTTCATCAGTATGTCTGAAAGAATACACTCTGACAACCATGACCGTCAAACACTGTTTCTGAGGTGGGTAGTTCTTCAGTTAGCTACCAGCTTCCTTAATTCTGATATATCTGAAGAGATCCAGAATTACATGTACACAGCACAGATTTCCCTGAAGGAGGATGCTGATGATATCACAGGGCCAGATTCTTAGAACCCAGTTTTCACATGAACTCTGTTCTCAGAGGCATGACGGTCAGATGAAAATAATGGTCCAAGTATGGGATCCAATTAAATTGCCCCATTGAAGATGCTCAGAATGCTGATGGTGAAGAAATGGAGATTTAGATGACAAGTCAGGACAGCAAGTCACACTGTGCTCGGGGTCCAAAAGGAAATTTTGAAAGAGCTGAGGAGCAAGGAGAATCCATGCAGACCACAGAATCTGAAGATCTAGGGTCCCAGGAGCTTCAATCCTTAACATTTAATGATGAAATGAGTAAGGTGAAAGACGAACAGACTCCAGGCTGGACAACAGATGCCTGTGGCATCTTCTAAATATGTGCTCTATGGTCACCGTCAGGAGCAGGCTGTCCTCCAGGCACCCGGTAAGACATTTTCTAACAAGGCAGATGGAGGAGTATGCAAAATTCCACACAGTAGACGGGCCATTTCTTTATGAAACGTGTACAAAAGGATTCACACCCAGGCCCACCTGGAATAAGGCCTATACAGCTGTGAGGTGTACAGGAAGTCATCTTTCTCTGCCCCTGGATTAAAGGAACACAAAAGGGTTCACAGCGATGAAAGACTGTGCATGTCACATGGACGACAAAGGCTTCAACTGCACGCCTCAGCTCAAAGTCTATGAAGGAAGGCACACAGGGAAAGCCCTTTGTGGGTCGTTGCCACACCACGGCACTTGCCAAGAGGCACGAGAAGAACATGCGCAGTAAAAGAAAATGGGCCACCACTGGTGCCACCCAGAGCGAGCTCAACGGTCTCGGGCAGGAGCAACAGCCCCAGAAGCAAAGCAGCCGCTGAACACCTCACCTGTGGCTGCGACGAATTGGGAACACTTGTCCAGAGACCGCTGCTTCCATGGCAGCCTACAGGGTGCTGTGCCACCTGGACCTGAGGCAGTAAGTACTCAAATCAGGTGTTCTTAAAACTTCTCAGTGCTTTGTTTTTAACGGCTGAGTAGTATTCCATTGTAAAAATGTACCATAATTTCTGTATCCATTCTTCGGCTGAGGGGCATCTCGCTTGTTTCCAGTTTCTGACTATTATGAAGAAAGCCGCTATGGACATAGTTGAGCAAATGTCCTTAATGAATGGTGGGGCATCTTTTGCATATATGCCCAGGAATGGTATAGCTGGGTCTTGAGGTAGAACTATTTCCAGTTTTCTGAAAAAGCGCCAGATTGATTTCCAAAGAGGATGCACAAGTTTGCACTCCCACCAACAATGGTGGAGGGTTCTCCTTTCTTCACATCCTCTCCAGCATGTGCTGTCACTTGAGATTTTAGCCATTGATTTTAGCCTGGCAAGTGGATAGGGGTTGTTCCTAACATGGACTCTATTGCCTGCTTTGGGAACAGTTCCCCCCCGGCAGGGCCGCCTTGCCGGGCCTCAGGGGATGAAGACGTGTGCCGTTCTGGTGTGACTTGATGTGCTGGCGAGTGTTGATACGTTGGGGAAGGGAGCTCTCCTTCAATGGGGAAAAGGGCAAGGAGAGGGGGGAAGGAGGGGAAGAAGAGGGGATGGAGGGGGCACCCCAGGGATGTGAAGTGGATAAACTAATATAAAATTTAAAAAAACAAAACACCTTCTCAGGGCAATTCTGTCCCTAAATTATCACCAAACAAGTTTCAGTACATTCGGGGCTCCAGTAACTCCTCCTGCCCTTCTTTCTTATGGTTTTAATTTGAAAACTCCCAAGTCTGGCTTAAAGCAAGAGACCTCTGTTCTATTCTAACTCCTCCATGCTTGGCAGCCTTGTGAGCATTTGGCACAGAGTACCTGAACAAGACGGCTTCCTAATCATCTCAATGTATGTGACTTACAGTCAAAACAGCATTTTTATTAACGGGATAAAAGTATTTTATATTAAAGCAGAAGATGCTGGTCAATTACTACCAAGAACAGTGCACACGGTTGGAGACACAGGATGCTGTTAGTTTTATACCAGGTCTGCTGATTTCTTTTTTTAGATCACTGCTTCTGTGAACGAATGATGGTTGCTTTGCTGAAATGGTTCTTCGTCATGAAGGGTTGCGATCAGCCCTGAACCCACCCCATGGGTGGTCACTGTTGGTCACTTGTACTGTAAGGTTAGAGGGACCCAGAAGGTGGTGGAGTGGGGCTGAGCCCTGAGAGTCCTCTCCTGTGCAATGCTGCCACTCCCCACCAGCTGGCATCTGTGTGATGGATCAGAATGAGGGGAGGAGACAGGGTTCTCAGCCTCAGAGACAAGGTTCCCACACATGCAAAAGTCCAAAGATTTTCTACATCACAAATCTTACTAATTCCAAAATTAGTTTGTTTTGATATCAAAATTAAGACAAGAAACAAAAACGGGTCCGCAGATGTGTCCATAGTTTAGATCTGCAGGCTTTGGGGAGGGTCTGCGCCATTTACTCACTCTGAAGACGCAATGTGCTTACTTAAATAATTTAGAAGACTGTAAGTGTGTAAACGGCAGTGTTGGTCTTAATGACTCCAGGGAAAAGACAGCTGTACTTTTTTGGGGGATGGGAGAGCACTAGACTAAACACCTTTCCTTGACAAGCACCAGACATTTAACTAATAGCAAAGGCTGCCAGACCAAATGTTCACATTACATTCATAGTTCACTGCTGTTTACTGTTTTGTAGAAGCTGACTGCTTTTTTGTAGTCAAAAGTCAATTAAAAACTTTGTTTCAGATCTGGTTGTACTAACTGTTCCTTTACCCATTTTCTTAGGAATCTACTGAAATGCCAGCAACTGGATTATATTCTGTAGGTTATTTTAGGATATATACTTGTAGAAAATGCCAACTTTAACATCCTAGTTTGAGTCTTAAGAATTTTCTCTTTAAAACATATATTTTCATTTTATTAAAAGAATTTAAGCCATCACAAAGAAACAGGATATAGGATCGGAGGTGCTGGGGGCCTAAAACAGTGAGGTACTGAGGTTGACAACTGGAAGAGTTGGAGACGCTGGTTCGACAGCGGGACATCAGCACTCCAGAGCTCAGAGACTACAACTGAGAGACGAGGCAGAGACTAGGGTCACAGACATGTGTGACAGAATGAGCACAAAGTGGCCTTCGCAGAGCAAGCACGCTGACAGGTAGGAGCACACACTGGCGCTGCCCAAGAGGAAAGGCTGGCTTGGTAATGCAGGAAGGGCAGAGGTCTTGCCTATTACTTGGCAGCAATGGATAAAAATATAACTGAATAATGAAAAGCTACCTCAGTATAAATATCAACTTGATCTAAAATGTCAGGCTGGTAGCCTAACTCATTCATCCAACAATTTCTCGCTGCCAGGTTCCTGTCATAGGCACTTGCCAGTTTATAGGAACACAAACAACTCAGTGCCTAGACAGTAATACACTCATTCTCTCTCTCCCCCGCCTTCTTCTCTCTCTCCCTCCCTCCCTCCTTATCTCTCCCTCCCCCCCATTTTTCCATGTCTAACTGAGGATGATAGCAAATTTGCAGCACTGTAGTGAAGATCAGAAATAAGTAAACACGGGCTTTGTGCCCAGTAAGCGCAAGAGCAGAAAGTTTCCTTTGTTTGTTTGTGGAGTGAGTTTGTCATCTAAAGACAGTCCAAATCTCCAAGGAGCTATCTGTTGAAAACATTATCATCTATTACTGTTTGCTTAGCATTTACCATGTTGGGGCTAGAGAGACAGCTTGGCAGTGAAGAGCATTCTCTTCCAGAGAACGAGGGTTCAATTCCTAGTACCCATGTGGTGGCTCACAGCCTTCTGTCACTCAACATCTCTTCTTGCCGTAGGCACTAGGCACACAAGCGGTGCATAGACATACATGTTGGTAAATCACCCATGCACATAAAAAAAGAAAATAAAAATAAATAGTATCCACCATGCACCAAGAACCACGGTAGGCACTTTCCATGATAGATTAGTTCAAGTTGTTCTTGTAACACCTCAGTGGGAGAGGCAGACGCCCTGATTTTTCCCTGGTTTGAAAAGTAAGAAACCAAGGCCCAGAAATGTTGGGAGGTTTACCCAAAACTGTGTAATTACAGTTACATGATAGAGTCTCCTGCAAAACTAGGCTCCAGGCCTTTTGCTCTCAAGCTCAAGGCTCTGCTACAAATAACACTGCAACACTGTAGTAGTTTAAGTGAAAGTGCATTCAAGAAATGATGCAATACAAGAACAACAACAAAAAAAAAGCTAGAGGTTTGGTAGAAATTGAGCTGATATTTAAAGAGATCAACCACACAAACAGGTAACACAAACCAACTACACCAGAGAGAAGACACAATAGGTACAGAGATCAGACCTGGACAGCAACTGTGAGACACTGTGTTGTTGAAAACACCAGAACCCCTTGCAGAATGGATAACTGGATCAGTGAACAATACCACTCCGAAAGCATTCTTCACAAGACAGAACACAACCACTGGGAGCACAGGATCTATGCGAACCAAACAAGAACTAGTCACCAAGCAAGCTTAGTTTGTCCCTGCTGTGATTTCCAATGAAGCCGTGTGCAGCGCTGTCAGCTGAAGGCAGCACCCCCATACGTCCTTCATGCTTACATCCGTAATCCCTGTCCCTCATGTTCCTCATGCTTTACTCCCTAACACCCCATAGCTCCAAGGAAAAAGACAAGAGCTTAAGAATTTGAACAGGTGCATTTATTTTATAGCAATTTAGATCTTAACCCAGAGAAACATAGAAAACAACTACAGATCTTCAAGAATAAAGAAAAGCAAGGGTCAGAGAGCAATTACTTTAAACACTGTTAAGTCTTTCCATGCTGAGTCCCTTTTAGTTAAGAAAGACTCTAGAATTCCAGTATTTTGATCATTTAAGACTGGAAGGTTCTTTCGACCTGCACCACCCCACCAAAAGATCCCCAGGTGACGCTTATGTACTGTAAGGTCTGAAAAGACTTTTCCACAGCAAAGCCCTTTAAGTGTACAACAGGAAATCGCTGTCAGGAGACTACTGTAAACTTATGCCTGTCTCTAGGGATCTGGAGAGATGTCATTGAACAGCAGTTACAGAAGAAAGTCTGAAAAGATGGCTCAAAGCCATGTATTTCTCATTCCAATGCTCTGCTTGGCACACAGATGACAATGCTTCATGAACACACATCCAAAAATTACTGTCAATAACAACACAGAAGATGGGAATCAAGGTGCAGTTACCCTTACAGAAAATATAACTGGGCAACTATTAAGTACTTTAAACATTTCTGGAATTAGCTTTAAAAAATGGAATAAACACTTTACATTTTATTTGTATTTGCACCTGGCAACACCTAAATTTGCAACAAGGATCATCAGGTTATATATGAAACCCATTAAGTATCAAAAGTGAAATCAGAGAAGACAGAACAAACTTCTAACAACATAAAGGAAGCCCTGTGAGCTTCTGAAGTCAGGGGTGGACACAGATCCTTGTTCTCACAACTAATCTTTGAACAGGCAAGCTCCTTGATACCTCTAGCCTTCATTTCCTCCTGTGCGCAATCAGGATGACAGCAGCTATTCTCACAGAGATCCCAGACTTCAGGCACTGACTGCTCACTGTGGGAAGCAGGAGTTACTGTTTTTCAGAGTGAAATGTGAAGTTTACCTTGTCCAGCTTCAGTTCCAGTTCAGCCACATCGCCCTCCACTTCCTCCAATGCGGCCCTAGGAACATTGAATAGAGAGAGTTAGCTCATTGCCTTAAAGGGAAAAGGGACACTTTACTCTTAAAAAGTAACTTTTCATCCTAAGTGAAAACATAGATGTGCTTAAAAATTAGCTTCTACGCAAATATAATGATAATTTACATAAAATGCAATTGACAGATAACAGAATTACTGCTGAAGCCAAAAAGAGATTACATTGGACTAACTTACTTTTCTAACATGTATTTTTAATTACATGTATGTATGTGGTATGTGCATGGTTACATAAGTGCCCACAGAAGCCAGAGGCATCGATCCCCTGGAGCTGGAGCTGAGACAGCTGGACCTCTGACACAGCGTGGGGCACAGAATCCAGGTCCTCCAGAACACAAGCAAGTGGTCTCAACACCGAGCCATCTTGCCATCCCCAGGACAACTTACTCTTAATTACTAAAACAATTCAAATTAATAACCAATAGTTACTAATAAGTATTAATAACTAATAATTACAATTAATGACTAATATTACAAATTATTAGTTATTTGGATATCAAAGTAATAACTAATAATTACAATTCAAATTAATTACTAATAACAATTCAAATTAATAACTGTTTTGTGTTTTTAAAAATGGATTAAGAGTATGTAGGCAAGAGCCATAAAATACAGAAAAAAACACTAATCAAATAAAATTATCCAAAAGCCTATTTTCAAAATAAAAAATTGAGTAGAAACTTTTTAATAGTTGAGCCTTAACTTATTCTGATTTGTAGATGACGAAGTATATGACACCAAAGAGCAAGGCACTAGTAATCAAAGGCACTTTTACTATGAGAAATAACTCATAAGGTTAATTTGTTCTCCATCAATATAATTTTAATACAGAAAAATCAGCAAAGGTTAGATCATATAAAAGAAGACAGTAAACAGTAAGCCAGACAACCGATGCCACCACAGGCCACAGTCCAAAACTGGAAATGTCTAAAATAAAACATGTGCCGTTAAAACTTTTTCTTTTCCTTTTTTTTCCTCTCTCTTTTTGTTGTTTTTCAAGACAGGGTTTCTCCGTGTAGCCTTGGCTGTCCTAAACCAGGCTGGCCTCAAACCCACAGAGATCCACCCGCCTCTGCCCCCAAGTGCTGGGATCCCAGGTGTGTGCCACTGCACCAATTAAACTTTTTTTCTTTTTTAAAATTTATTTGTTTGTTTGTTTGTTTGTTATAGTTTATTTGCTTTGTATCCCAGCTGTAGCCCCCTCCCTCAGCCCCTCCCAAGCCCACTCTCTACTCCTCTTCTACTCCTATGCCCCTTTCCCAGCTCAGTAATAGGGGAGGTCCTCCTCCCCTTCCATCTGACCCTGGTCTATCAGGTTTCATCAGGACTGGCTGCACTGTTTTCCTCTGTGGCCTGGTAAGACTGCTCCCCCCTCAGGGGAGGTAATCAAAGAGCAGGCCACTGAGTTCATGTCAGAGACAGCCCTGTTCCCCTTAATAGGGAACCCACTTGGAGACTGAGCTGCCATGGGCTACATCTGTGCAGGGGTTCTAGGTTATCTTAATGCATGGTCCTTGGTTGGAGTATCCGTCTCAGAAAAGACCCCTGAGCCCAGATTGCTTAGTTCTGTTACTCTCCTTGTGGAGCTCCTGTCCCCTCCAGGTCTTTCATCTCCCCCTTCCTTCATAAGATTCCCTGCACTCTGCCCAAAGTTTGGCTATGAGTCTCTGCATCTGCTTTGATACCCTACTGGGTAGAGTCTTCCAGAGGCCCTCTGTGATAGGCTCCTGTCCTGTTCCCTGTTTTCTCCCTCTTCCGAGGGTCCATCCTGTTTGCCTTTCTGAATGAAGATTGAGCATCTTACCCAGGGTCCTCCTTTTTGCTTAGCTTCTTTAGGTGCACAGATTTTAGTATGATTACCCTATATTATATGCCTAATATTCACTTATAAGTGAGTATATACCATGTGTGTCTTTCTGCTTCTGGGATAGCTCACTCAGGATGTTCTTTTCTAGTTCCCACCATTTGCCTGCAAATTTCATGATTTCCTTGTTTTTAATTGCTGAGTAGTATTCCATTGTGTAAATGTACCACAATTTCTGTATCCATTCCTCAACTGAGGGACATCTGGGTTGTTTCCAGCTTCTGGCTATTACAAATAAAACTGCTACGAACATGGTTGAGCAAATGCCTGAACAGAACACCAACAGCACAGGCTCTAAGATCAACAATCAATAAATGGGACCTCATGAAACTGAAAAGGTTCTGTAAAGCAAAGGACACTTCATGAGAACAAAATGACAGCTTACAAATTGGGAAAAGATCTTCACCAACTCTATATCTGACAGAGGGCTAATATCCAGAATGTATAAAGAACTCAAGAAGTTAAACAGCAACAAATCAAGTAATCCAATTAAAAAATGGAGTACAGAGCTAAACAGAATTCTCAATAGAGGAATATCGAATGACAGAGAAACACGTAAAGAAATGCTCAATGTCCTTAGTCATCAGGGAAATGCAAATCAAAACGACCCTGAGATTTCACCTTACACCCATCAGAATGGCTAAGATCAAGAACTCAAGTGACAGTACATGCTGGAGAAAAAGTGGAGAAAGGGGAACCCTCCTCCACTGCTGGTGGGAATGTAAACTTGTACAACCACTCTGGAAATCAATCTGGCGCTTTCTCAGACAATTAGGAATAGCGCTTCTTCAAGATCCAGCTATACCACTCCTGGGCATATATCCAAAAGATGCTCAAGTACACAACAATTGAAACTTTTTATGGGTAAGATTTTACACCAAAGGCGGTGTATGACAAAATATAAGTTACATCTTAAGTTACATATGCGCTCTGTGCACACTTGCAACAGGCTCCAAACCCTCAAGTCTTGCCAAGCAGGCACCCTCCCACTGAGCTCCAACCACAGCCTCATGCCATTTTCACATACCTACTTGATGTCCTAGTGATTTTCCAATAGTTATTTTAAGAACAACTCAAAATTTGTTTTAATTGGATAGTAATGGAAGACTACCTTCCTATTCTCAAGCAATGGACTATAAACAAAAGACAGCCAGGATATAAGCCTTATTTCCTATTTCCACTAACTGGGTGACCTCTGAATAAATACTCTATCAGCTCCAACTGAGAACATACATCTTAGAAGCTTTTAAGTATCCAAAATTTAAAAAGAAAAGAAAAACAATTTAAAAACCTCTGTAAGTTATTTCAGTAAGCATGTTCCATTACAAATGAGATCTTGCATACACTCCAGGAACACAGAAGGCAGCAAACACACAGCACAGAGGCAGGGTACATCTTCCTGACCCACGGCTGGAAAACATAATCCTCACCCTTCACTTACACACCACTTAAACTCACTTCATACCTGAGAACAAATAAATGGGTCTCCACAAGGATACTCTAGTCGACTGAGAACTAAGATGTGCAGCAGTCAGAACAATCTAGATAAATGGTGGCGTCTTCTCCCTGGGTGAGGAAGCAAGTGCCGAAGCAAGGTGGCAGTGCAAGCCTGTAATCCCAGCGCTCAGGGCACAGAGGGGCGAGGATCTGTGAGGCTGAGAGTTCTAAGACAACCCAGGCAACACCCTCACCTCAAAGTGAATACACAAATGAAGGTCATCTTACTGACAGGGAAATATGGACATGAGATTAAATTATTACACAGAGGGAGAAGAAAATTACACAATTAGGATAACATAGCCCCAGATTTATGTGGGGAAAAAACTGTGTAAACACATAAAAAATTATCTATAAGAAGATTTACCAATCTGAACTGTAACACGGAAGAACCAGGATTGGAGGGCAGGCTGCATAAAGATGAATTTGCATTCTAGCTATTTGTGGCCCTGGAGACTTCAGTATTTTCAGCAACAGTACATTGTATTCAGAAAACAACTCTTCGATAAGAGGGGCTTGTCCCTTCACTCACTCAGGCTGCCTGACAAATGCCCCCTGAACCCCGAGGCTTGCAGTATGTGTCTCCACCATTGCCCCCTTCTCCGGCAGTCTGAGCTGCTCACAGCGAGGCCAGGCTTGAAGATCTGCTGACTCAAGGGACAAGTGCGCTAACTCTGACTCTCAGGGCCTTCATTCACTGTTAACCTTTACCTTATCAATTTTCCAATTATTATTTGTTAAAATGAGCAGCATTAGATTTGATTTAAACTCTGGTCTCTGCTGGACATATACTTGCAGACTGATAGTACTTTATACAGTGTTCAATCTTGTTTCACTGTGTAATCCTACACCTTTATCTATAAATTCATGGATATGTTAGGGCTGGTGCTGGTAGAGGGCTCTGTAGGCCCAGCTACTGAGAGTGAGGCAGGAAACAGCCAGAGCCCAGGAGTTCATAGCAGCTGGTAACAGAGTAAGATCATTAAAATAAAATATAAATAAATGAAATGTGAAGACAGGAAGGGGGAGGACCGAGCAATAAAAATTGTCCCTGTCATCAGCCACAGTGTGGTAAACACTAGTACCCTGTGCTCTCGAGCAAATTCTACTCCTTTTGTCTTCACTAATGTGATAGAACCATCCTGAGTCATGTACTTGATGAAATAATCTAATATTCCTTCAGATATTGCATGCAGTGATCATTCCTTTCCAACTCTCCCAGATATCACTAAGCATAAAACTTTTAAGTGCAAGTCCTTTAAAAGGTCAAAAATCAGGGGTTTGTAGGCATGGGCTCAGTTGCTAAAGCACTTGCTTTGCAATCATAAACACTGAGTCTGATCCCCAGAGCCCATAAAAAAAGCCAGCAGGACCAACACCAGGAGTGGTGGAGTGCACTAGGAAGCCCGCACTGGGCAGGAGGTGAAGAACTCACTGGCCAGCCAGAGAAAGCCTGTCTCCAAGGAGGTAGACAGCCTTCCTGAGGATGACAAACACCACTGGCCTACACACACACACACACACACACACACACACACACACACACGCACGCGCACACACACACGCACACAAACTTGTACGTGCATGCTCCCACATACAGAAAC